CTGTTAAAATCCCCACAAATAATTAAATCTACACTTGTGGAATACTGTAACATATCAACTAAAGACTGTTCCAGTTTATCCCAATTATCCTGTTGTCTGGGTGGGGCATAAATGTTAACACATATTAACATTCTCCCTTTAAATTTCAGCCTCAGTATTTGGATTTCATCTATATCATAATTTCCAAGAGTTATTTCTTCTATTCTCACATCCAGATGTACTGCAATTAGGCTCATTAAACCCTTTTTGGCACACCCCATCCTTTGATCCCTCTTGGCCCATTTATAAAAACACATATAACCAGGTAAAACTGTTACATTATTTTCCACCAACCAGGTTTCTTGGAGAAAAATCATGTTATAATCTTGTAAAAAATGAAAGAATTCCCCATCTCTACATTTGTTGGCCCATCCAGCAATGTTCCGAGATATACATTTAATTGTAGATGTCTTCATATTGTTTTCTTGTCAATTCTGTTGCTTATCCTTGTTTTGGATTTGACTCTGATGATTATTTTGTTTACTTTTCCTGAGTAATTGTTGTTGTGTTGACGTATGACCTAGCTGTTGGCCTCTGATCCTTTCTTCCTTTGAGATGTTATAAACTTCTCCTGGCTGTGTCACTTGTTCTATTGAATTCAGAGTTCCTTGGATATCTTCGTAAACACAATTATTTTTAGTCCCAGGGATATTTGATGTAGACTTATGTGTTACATCCTGGGCTTTCTCGGAGAATCTCAAATTCGGATTTAAATCTGATTGCTTTATTCTGTGCACTTCTGTGGTAGTCTTATAAACTCCTGCACTATTTATTTTCATTATCTTATCCATCTCAGATGACAACCAATTTTGTAATGCTCTATGAGATGCCTGCTGTACCAGGTTATGCTCTTTTATATAATTCCTTTCATGATCATTAGCAGTGTTTACTATATGTTGTTTTGCCAGAGCACTGTCTTTTGGTAACGCACATGATATTGTAAAGTTCGTTTCTGTATTGTTTGGGTTTTTCCCCATCTCTATTCTTTCACTATCCCTAATCAAGTTGTTATATTCCTTTTCTTCCACTTGTAATGCATGTAGTACCTCAGTTCTTTGTGTTTCCAATGTTAATTGGTTCATGTTGTTTTTATAAGCTTCATAAAGTATGTTGTTCTGGAAATTTCTGGATACCCCTATCGAAAATTTATTCAGCAATCTCTTTTTCTTCATCACCAAACCGGCCGTTGCTATAGACTCAAACGTTACAATTACTCTGGCATTTATATAGTTATAAAATAGGTATTCAACTTTATTTATATCTTTCATTGAGAGGTCGATTACGTCTAGGGATTGCATCAGATGAACAAAATATATTTTCCTATCAAACTGAGTCTGTAATCCACTAGGTTTGGGGTAGTTAATGAAAGTCAGTTTGTTAGGGATCAGTTCTAAATGCCAAGTATTTTGTTTAATATCATTATTTCTTGGTTGGTTCTTGGGTAAGGTAGTCATGCCGAAATCAACTTATGTAATAAGTTTGTCAAATTGAGTACATTTACTATCTGCTTCTAATTGGGTGGGGTTTACTTGTTTGCTCCTCTGGCTCTTTTCATTCAATCTGTTTTGTGATATCTGGTTTCCTTTATCTTTCTTATACTTATGCGTTTTTCTCCCTGGGTTATTCAAAGATTTTCTTGATTGTTTGCTCTTTTTGCATTTAGTCTCAATGATTTGCCACAGTTTATTTGGCTTGAATTTCTTTGTTGTTCTGTGACACTTCAGGTTTTTAATGTTTTTGTT